GACTTCATCAATTAGGGACTCTTGACTAAGCTGCACAAACAACAAATAATTTGTAATAATTGAACTGAAATTGCCCCAGTGTGCCCCTCCTTGATATCCCGCAACCCACCACCAGGGTTCCGACACATAACACACTTTTTTCAGGAAAGTAAACCTCCAGGGGTCCTTTCCATATTTTTACAGAGACTGCATAAGGACCGTTAGAAAAGCAGTACCCATTGATTATTAAGCTTGGACCAGTGGGGTCCGGTGTTCGGGCCCCACCACGTAAAACCAGTCCCCATGACGTGAGTGGAATCTCAGGTTATGGAACCCACCAGGAGTTGAAAACAAGTGCACACACACACACACACACAAGAGAAAGAAATACATATTTGCTTGGGCTTGAGCAAAGTGAATATTTGTGGCCATACATGCACAAGCCAGATTCCGTCAGATCTCTGAAGCTGTGCATGGCAGGGCCTGGTTAGTACTGTGATGGGAGACCTCTGGGAACACCAAGTGCCACAACAACAGTTTGGCTGTAAAGTGCCAAACTGTTGTTGTGTCCTTAGGCAAGACACTCCACCCACATTGCGTAGAATGAGTCTTGTGTGTGTGTGTGTGTGTGTGTGTGTGTGTGTGTGTGTGTGTGTGTGTGTGTGTGTGTGTGTGTGTGTGTGTGTGTGTGTGATGGCACATACTGGTTGCCTCGCTTCTGGCAGTGTGCCCCAGGGCAGTTATGGCTTCTGTAATAGTTTATCACTAGTATGTATCGGTTGAATGAGTAATGACGAGTGAAGCGTCTTTGAGGGTCCAGAAACAACGCAATAGAAAACAATGCATTATTATTATCATTTGAATTTATGGGGATTTGTTTTTGTAATTGTGTGTAATGGTTTTATTGACCTATATTTGTTTCTTCCTGAGAAGCGAGAGTGCTAATAATTTGGTTTATAACATTTTTTCATGGTAAATGACTCTAGCTACCTCACGGCCTTCATCCCCACCGCTGTCAGACTGTACAATAAATCACTTTAAGTCACTAATGCACTAGGACTGAAAAAAACAGCATTATTGTACATAATTGTATCCGGCACAGACGAAGCACAGATGTTTGCACTCTTCTGTCTTTTGCAAAACTCGACTGATTCTATTTATGCCAAATGTGACATAAATTTCTCCAGTGTGAGATCAACAAAGTCTATCTCATCTTATATTTTCTCTTAAATACGTCCTGTCTTGTGTTGGCAGAGTTCACCGTAGAGCGTGTTGCTGATGTAAATGTGCAGGTTACATCAGGATGACGACAGGTTTGAAAGGCACCTTGTTCAACCGCTCAAAGCTCAAAGTCTGACTGAAATGTTTTATAGTTGAAAGAGGCTTAATAACAGAGAACAGTGGGAAATGTTTGAACGCTGCAGAACTCTTACGTCTCTTTCACGTTTAACCTCGATTATGATAAGTTTGATACGTTTTCTCGTTTCACGGTTTGGGCCGAGCCTGCGAAGCCTTTGATCTGACCATGTCCAGCTGATGTGTATAGAAGCGTCAAATTTTGTGATGCAAGATATTGTTTCAGAGGATGATGCATGGTTTGTTGTTACGGACCAGGGCCTTACTGTCCAGCTTGTCTGCACATTTGAGTTTGTCTTTTGTTTTATGCCCTACACTCACGTCGCACCACACACTGGCTTTCATTGCACTCATCACCTGCACAACACTACTGATTACTACATGCTCACATCTCATACCTTCTTTGTGTTCACTGTTAGGCCAGACTTTGTTATTAAATAAACTTTTTGCACTTTTTACCACCGTTTTACCTCCCTATTTGTTATTGCCCTGAGCCAGCTGTAACAATGTCGTCTTCATCTTGTCATCGCCTGCAGTAACATCAACCCTTCTCAAAATCTCTGTTTAACAAATAAGCTCGTGCATTAAGCTGTTACTATATGACAATGAGACACATAGCGACTTTGTTTGTTTTGTAAGGCACCATGTTCCCTCCAGGGTTTATTTTGCTTTCTACTAATTTACACTGTTGGTTTTATAAAAGATAGCTACATTCATCTATTATGCAGATGGTGCTGTGCTTTGAAGTGTCCCCACTGTGCATTAGGCCATGCTAGAATCGCAGAGAAGTTTTAAGGAAGTGAAAAATTCCACTGAATACAAATAAAAACTAAATATTTGCTCTTCTCAAACAAACAGTTGGGTAATGCGCAAAGTTTATATTTGTATCCTGCCCTACGTTTCACAGGCTCAAAACCCAGGACTGTAATTCAGTCAGGAGCGACTACAGACACAAAATTGCATCAAATTATTTTTTAATGTGTTTGTTTGGCACCGTAGACCCAGGCTGCAGCACTTTGACCTTCCTTGTGCGCCGCTTATGATCCCCCAGGACCTGGGTATTGGTGGTGGCATGAGGTCTAGGTACTAGAGGTGGCATAAGGGTGAAGTTCAGATGAGAGCGCGAGGAGATAGGGAGATGGAGCTTTCGCCAAAGTTCACTGTGGTAGACCCGGCTGCTGCTGCCCAGGCCACAGGCTGCTCTTCCTCGACTCATCAATACCAGCAACGCCCACATCCAGTCAACCAATAACCACCAGGACAGCAAGTTAAAAGCCGGAGACGCCCACTTCCCGGCCTTCTGAAGTCTGCAAGCCTCCGCCGCCCCACCTCCTCCTTCTCTCATGAAGCGTGCTTGCCTACTGCCTCTGCCGTCACCAGTGCCTAGGCCCCGGGGGGGATTATGCACGCGAGCAAGTGCCGTGCTCAACAGCATCCCTCCCGGGCCTAGGGCGCCAAACATGCTCAATCAATAAACATGCTTAAATCTAATAAGTCTAACGGCATTTTCCTCATGGGTCTCTCCAAGGTGAAATGGTGGTTGCGAGGAGTGAGTAGACGAAAGTGACGCCAGAACAAACTCCTTGTGAGGCTGGAAAAGTTAGATGTTGGGAAGTTTCTGCTTTTAAACAGCTGGCTTAATTGACGTTGGTTGGCCGCGCTGTGTGATTGGCCGAGGATGGAAGGGGCCGGCTTGGATGGGTTGCAGCAGGAAGCCTACCAGACTGAATTTCCGCAGGCTGCATCTTTAGGATAAAGAATGGTGGCCTTTGCTGTCTGTTAGAACTGAGCAACAGTTCGATTCAATTTTTTGATAAAGAACTTATCAGAAAACTGCCTGATTATCTGACACGTAACTCTAGCTCTGACACCACCTTAGCAAAGCATCTGCCCCTGTTACAGCCCAAAGCTAAAGCCATCGGAACAAATGCCCATATAAGGAAATTAGCTCCAGCTATTTTACGTTTTAAGCGGCTTCTTCCGCATTCAGCAGACACTATGGTGACGTCAGCACTGTCAGTCCACTCCTCATTTACCGTCTATGTTCGAAAAGCACAAATCCTGTGTAATAAGTCTGTGTTGGTGGAGAGCCGCTGGCGTGTGGAGGGTAGTGACACGAGAGCCGATCTGAAAGAGGCAGATCCGGTCTCTGCTCGGCTCAGTCCTGCTCTTGACTTTCTAATTCTTGGTTTGGTTTCAGGCACTCCATGTAATAATACCTCCCTGTTCCCCCCCAGAGTGCCATAAGGGGGTGGCAGTGCACCCTCCACATGCAAATATCAGTGACAAACTTCAGGCAGAAATAGCAGTGTGGAAAGAGGTTAAACATTCTTACTGGGCTGTGTATGTACGTAGATAATTGTGTATTTAAATCACATACATGTACACTATCACTACATTTGTAAAACATTTCTTAGCATTCACAAAGCATTTTTTTTTGGCCAAAGATTTGAAACGTATTCCGACTTAGTTAATCTCCTATGACCACCCTTGCAAAGCCAATCAACTCCCCAAAAAGCCTTATAGTGACTCACAAGCATCATTGTGTATAATCTAAAAAAATCATATATTTTTGTATTAATGATCATTTGGGACTTTAATGCCATGTGTTGTTTCTATCTTGTTCTGTTCAGCACTGAGTTACCTTATGTATGAACTATGCTATACAAACTGCCTTGCCTTGCCAAATGTCTAATTTGACACACATAGATTTTGCACTATCAGGGGTGAAAGATTATGATGATATGATTTTTTTTTTTTTTTTTTGGTTTTGAGAAAGAATGCGTGGCCACTTTCCAGCTAATGTACCTTACTTTTTTTTCCAAGAATATCACATTATGTTTGTCCCAACAGAAAGAGTCTTGTCTGACCAGAACATGCTGTCTTCATCTTATTAGAAAACATCTTATCCTTAATGCATACTTGTAAGAAAGAGCTTTGTGAGTCATTATTGGGTCTGAGTGCGGCTGGTCCCCTTCAATGTTCTGTCTGAAGAAACTGATCTAAAGATGTGACCAAAAAATACATTGCGAATGAAAACTACTGATAAAACTTGACTAGGCTTTGAGAGCAAGGAACTTTCATAGGTGTCAAAGTAAAGGCCTGATCACTGAATTAATTATCTTGATTAGTATAAGAACCGGCCCACACAGAGCCATGATAAAATATTGGATTAATCATTTGATATTCAGGACGTGTACGAGAAGTTGGTTTTGGTCCTGTTGAACAAATGTTATTACTTGAAATGACTGACAGGGCCATACAAAAAATATTGGATAATTCTATTAATCAGTAGATAAAATGCACTGTGTTAGGTTTAGTTTCAATAGGTTATATGCAATCCTTTTATATGTTAATAGATATTGAACCAGTCCGGCCCTCAGCTTGTAGTAAATTAGTTTTTTTGGCGCTCTGATGTATTTGACTTTGACATCCCTGAGTTAGATGGATTGCATAGTTTGTTTTATGGTGTTTTGAAAGTTAGGTACCCCATTTAAAAGAACAAAACCCCTCCCACCAGCAGTTAAAACACACACACACACACTTAAGAGATTAGAATAAACATCTTTAATTGAAAACAACAGTGGATAAGATTGTGATATGATACATCCGTCTACCTCATCCTCTTTTCACCCCCCTCCCCTTTGCCCCTGTGCCCTCTGGTCTCAGTTATTGGCGGCCATGGTGTAGCAGCCGTGAGGGTGCCACTGCATGTCGCGAATCCGCCTCATGGACTGCATCTGTGGGCAACGGGCTCCGAACTCATTGAAGTGTCTGTATTCGCCCTTCTCGAACAGGTACTGGCTGCCACGGTATCCAGGGAACTGATACCCCACCCAGCTGTAGGGCACATTGCATCAAAGAGGTGAGAATGGATTTATGCTTCTTTAATGTGTTATATTCACAGTAGGGTTGACATTATGGGAAATAGTTTTGGGAAACGTTGAAAAGCTGCAAAAAAGAAGACAAATTGCTAATTGCAGAATGGCTATGAGCTGAAAACAACACTATATATACACAGTGACCTTGCTTCCCACTAGGGCTGTAAGTAGCAATTATTGTGATAATGTTTAGCTTAAGCGCATTAATGATAATGACAACTGAATGATTTCACACTTTAATTTAGTGTTCTTGAGTGTCCTTGTTTTTTTTTTTCGTTTTGTCAATCCCTTTGAGTAGCGTTTGAGTAAATCTGTGCTATAGAAATACACTTGCCTTGTCTTGACTTGACCAAATATTCTTTCAATTAATTAGTTGCTTGGATCCCAAAAGCTGAGTAAATACGGGATTCTTATATAGCTTTTACCAAAACCTTGACCAAAGGAAAGCTTAATTTAATTTTGACGTGATTTTAGATTTATTTGAGTCATAAAACCTCTTCTCTGCATGTTTAAGCCTATGGAAGGTTCGAAAAACAATTATTTCAACAATCAATTAGTTGGGATTCACTCCATTCACTTGTTTCAGCCCTACTTCACACACACCTTTCCCTATACTTTTTCACACATTTTTTTATGTATCTCTGTGATTGATTTCAGTTGTCTTCTATCTCTTCAGGGCTCCACCTTTTGTCAGTCTTACATTTCTAAAAAGAACTGATGCCTGAAGCTTTAGAAACATTCTGTATATTTGACCATCATCACTATTGTTGCTTTCACTTATAACAAAGTGCAATATCAGTAATGGTTGTTTATGCATGGATCAATATATAAATATGTAATAAATTTCTCTACAGGTTAACAATGAAGCCTTTTTTACCACCGCACTTGATGCATTGTGGCTGTAGACTCTGTGCCTCTGTTATGTTTTGTTGCTGTTCCGTTAACTTGACCATAGCAACATAGTTTTACTCTAATTATGCAATAAAGGGGCAGGCATTTTTTTTTACTTCAGACTACTTCTTTTCATCGTTTGTATTGCCCTTGTAAGTCACGCTGTAAGAAGTTGTAGGAAGTCTGTAAACTTGCTTTGGCTCACAGTGCAAACGAGTTATAAAAGTAAAACAATAGATATAAAGAATGGCATGCATACAAAAAATCTTCATAAAATACCTATAAGTGCACACTAAGTACACACAATAGACATTTTACAGCGCAGGTTTTAAGCTGTTCATAGCACTAAAACAAATATTGATCTGAGAAACAATCTGAACTGAGAAATTGCATGAAGGTGTGTTGTTTTGTTCATATCGGGATCTAACAAAAGAAACATAATAACAATAATCTTTTCCCCTATAAAAGCATTTGCCATTGTTGAAACATTGATTTAGACGAGGGCGACATGTGCACCTCCCGAACACCACTGCTGTAAGTTCCACCAGGATCAACGCTGTAAGACAAACAGCCCTAATATCGATCTGTTTCTGCCTCATCACACGGCGCTCCGCAGGGGGCCGCCTCCCCCAGCTGGGAGCGTGCGCCGCACAAATGAAGTAATCAAAGACATTTAGACACAGCCCCCCCCCTTTGAGGACTCTGAGAGAAAAGTATCTGTCCCTAATCAAGCCGTTTGGGAACATCAGCTCTAGTTTGTGCTCTCAGTCGCTCTCGGGCTCGGGTGACGTCACTGCAGGGGGCTGACAGACGCACGCCGGCGCCCGTCCCGACCGCGTGTGACGCAGCTCGGCTAATGCAACAGACGAGGGAGGAATGAAAAATGCAAAGAGTTTAACTGCAGCCGCAAATAGAACAGGGAGAGATGTCCCGCTGCTGAACCTCACTCTGATGTGTGTTTGGAACCAGAGACGATGGAGCAGAATGATGGGCCATTTATAAAGCTTTTAAGAAAGTTGTTGTATTTTTTAGCATGTTTGTATTTTTAAGCAACCCATATATAGGTTTGCAGATGAAGACACATGAGGGCAGTTGCCAGGGTCATTAGAACTGCAAAACAACATCTTGAATGGGAGAAAGGGCTTTTTCCCCTATATTTAGTAAAATAAAAATAAATTAAAAAAAATTAAAATACATAAAAAATACAATAAAAATTAAATATTAAATATATTTTTTATTTTTAATGTGTGTTTTATACTGTTCTTATGCTGCCTGTAAGGTGACCTTGGGAATTTTGAAAGGCGCCCACAAATAAAATGTATCATTATTATTTTTTTTGTAAAATAAATAAACTCTTTTAGAACAAAATTGATTAAATTAGAATTTTATCTTTTTGTTTTCGTTTTGTTTTTTACCTTTCCCTTTCTGTAGCGTATAAGAAAAGGTATTATTCATTAAAGAAAAGTATTAAGAACTCCATCTTTGATCTTTGTCCCATTGCCTCAATTTGAATATTATAAATTCAGTAAAAAAAACGAATAAATTCAAGCTCTTAATAAAAAACGAACATTTGAACCCGTTTGGCAATCTTCAGCATATTTTCATAGTGTGTATAAAAGAACTCAATATTTCGTCTGTTTCACCTACTATTTCTGAAAAAGGGTTAACTTGTCAAACCCAATGGAGACAACAGGTTGCAGACATCCCACAGTAGTACACAGTTCCCCGCTGCGTATGAGCAGTACTTACGTGCCACAGCTGACCATGACGCTGCCCACGCGGTCGGTGAATCCGTAGGAGAACAGACTGGGCACGTCATCGTCCATGATCTCCATCTTGCGGCCCTTGTAGTCGCCCACCTCATACAGGCAGATCTTGTGCTTCTCTGGGTCCTGCGGGAGGGAGAATACGCTTGTGACGGCTCGGTTCTTATATTTTGGGTGTAATCGATGTATGTTTACGTGCTGTGGAAAGATTGCCCATGCAGACCCTAAGAAGGCATCTAAACCCCGGATCTTCGACTGTGTCTAAATTTGTAGAAGTGCAACAGTGAAAATAGTCCCCAGCCTCATGCAATAGTGTGATCTGATCAGGTGGGAAGAAAGCTGGAAAGCATGGGGTCCAGGAAAATATATTTGTATTTTTTGTACTTACTCAATTAAGGTTTAGAGTAGCGTTAGGGCAAGAGGTTGTGGTTATGGTTAGAGTTAAAGTTAAGGTTGAGGTTATAGGGTTATTTAGGAGTCTAAGGCCTAGCTATAGGTTTCAGATTAAGAATAGGATCAACCGGAAACATCCTGATCCTGGACTGCTCCTTACTTGATAATATCACCTCATGCCCAATAGTGACTTACTCTTTTACAGTAAGTACAGTCAGTTTTTTGATTAATTATTTCTTAACATCTGCTACAATTTACTATGTTAAAAGCAGTTAACAGGAGGGTCTCAGGACAGATTTTGATTCTGATGATTAAAGAACATTTATTGACATTTATGGTTATTGGTCATCCACTCCCTATGGACCAAAGGCGTTGTGTTTGTTATTATTGCATTTTCCGTGTTCAAACTCTTTGATTTTCTGATCTGTTGGTGAGCAAGCAGATGTGCAGAGTGGTCAGTGGTCAGAGTGGTGTGTAAAGTGATCAAAAATAAGTCGTACATTGCTCAAATTTGACACATTCTTTCTTAATTTATGCACATTCTGACTGCCTTAAAACATGATTTGCCAAAAGGACCAGAAAATGATCTTGTTTTAAAAAGATACAAGAAATGTCTCCCTTGGAATGAGAAAATAAACATCTGTTCTTGAAATTAGACTAAATTACTCTGTCCTATTGGGAAATATTGTTTTAATATAATATTTTGCTGGTTAGGCAAATGCAAGTAGTGCTTAGTTGTCCTCTGATGCTACTGCTTTCTCTTGGCATGTAAACATAAATAATACCATGAGTGTTGCTTCTGTATAATGAGTTTTTTACCATGCGGACGGGCCTGAAGGAGAGGAGGTAGTCGTTCCTCTGACAGTTGCTCCAAGAGTCCCAGCGGGGGTACTCTCCCTTCTCCAGGATGTACATCTCTCCACAGAAGTTCATCTGCTCGAAGCCCACGAAACTGAAGACACACAGGGGGGAAGCGAGTATAAAGTCAATTTAAAATGTCAAACAGTATCACAGCTAGACGAAGCGACTTTGATGGAAAGTGCTTGACAGATAGCTTTGTTGCCTCTCTTGGGAACTTGCCTTATTCCACTGCGGATATTATCGCTGGAAAAGGACAGCGTTTCTTTTCAAAATAAACTTTCTTCTTTAAAACTTCAAACACTCTTATCTACGCTTCGGGTTTGTTGTTGTTTGTGGACCAATTATGACAGAAATTCAATTCGCCAAATCGATTCCTTTGTGGCTTTGTTGCGTCGTGTTGCGGTAATGGGATAGCACAGAGGTTGCCGTCGCCTGCTTTTTGTGGTGAATACAAAGCGTTCCTAAGGTGGGCATACGTGTAGGTGGGCAGAGGTCGGTTGGATTTTTACTTACGGACCACAGAAAACCTTCAGAGAGCGCACCCTGTCCATGCCAAAGTCGCACACGTTCATGCACTCGTTCATGATCTCGGTGCAGCGGCCCTGGAAGTTCTCCTGGTCGTACACGCACATCTGAAAGGCAATAGCAAACGTTGGAGATAATGTAGAAATAGTCACTGATAACAAAAGAAAACAGGTCCTGTGTAAGAAAGGACGAAGAAGGAAGAACGTGTGTGGCTTTAGGTGAAACACAGAAAATCAGAAGTCTAAAGTGTATTTTGTCAATTGTTTCCTGCACTTTTTTATTTATGTATTTTATTTTTGTACCTTATTTTATTTATGTACTTGTCTGGTGCACACTGGGGACTTTTGTAAATGTACACAAAAGTGTTTTTACTGGAAATGGCAAAAATAATTAATCTGAATCTGTGAAACCAAAACATGATATCATCATTACGTGCAGAGTTACATACAGTATTCCAGCCTTTGTCTGTAATTATGGTGATCATGACCTACAGTCCTTTTGACAATATAATATTTTCTCAGTAATGGTGAAACTTAAAAGTCCATTAACTTCTGTAAGCATTTGAGCATTTGCCTTTGAGCCAGAAGGTCGAAGGTTCGAGCCCACCTCAAGAATTTCATCGTCGACTCCCACTATCTGCTGCCGTTGTGTCCCTGGGCGAGACACTTAACCCTTGGGAACACCTGCCACAGTGGGGCGGCTGTAAAGTGCCAAACTGCTAATGTCTCCTTAGGCAAGGCACTTCACCCCCATTGCCTAGAATGAGTCTTGTGTGTGTATGAATGGTTGGTGGTGGTCGACTGCACATACTGGTTGCCTCGCTTCTGTCAGTGTGCCCCAGTGTACACCACCGTGTATGGAGTGAATGAATGATGACATGTAAAGCGTCTTTGAGTGTCCAAAAAAGCGCTATATAAAACCGATGCATCATTATTATTATTATATATTGAGCCTTTCTTATTTTTAATGTTGGTTATTGTCTCACAGCTCGAATAAACCATAGAATATCGGGCTGTAAACCATAATTCTCCTCATATTGAATAATCCGCTTGAAAATCATAAACATATTGGGTAGGTGCTATGTGAATTGGGTGGCATCTGTGACTGCCACCCCCTTGACCCAGAAATGGATTAGGGGAAGAAAATGGGTGAATGGATGAATACTACAACAATCACATTCACTGTATATTTAATTAGGAAAAACTCTAATTTGGAAAAACTATATCATGTAGATGTAGATTTAATTCCTTGTGCTGTGCTCCTTGTGTGGCTTGAAAGGTATTGGTTTGATGCGTTTATCGTGCATGGCTCAAACAAGGCTTTTTTGGTTTGAGTTGAACAGATTTCACATTTCTTTTGGTTGCTTCTTCTGGACATGTTGGGGACAGTTTTCCCGACAGTGAGATCCGCTGCCCCAGACTCTGTTGAAATAACACGTTGCCAAAACAGACTCTGGTTTTGAAATTGAAGGTCTGCTGTATAAAGCGTGAGCTAAAATGGCTTCTTTTGTGTCACGTCCAGAGCAGCTGAGAATAAACCGGGTGACCGTCAACTGCAGGAAGCGACGGCTATAAATGTATAATGGTTTTATACTGTATCTATGAATAAAGGAACTGGCCGTCGTCGATATAACAATTGCAAATGACTGAACAAATAAATAAACAAAAAAGGATTTAAGCCCCAATATATGTCTCTGTATATATCTGTATGTAATATTTGTAGGAAAATAATGGCCACGACGAATTGATGCTACACTTCTTGCTCTGATAAAAATAAAAATAAAAACCGAAAAAGCCACATTTCCAATCCTCAGTTTTGGGTGCTGTTATATTCATTGCCATTCTAAAATTCTTCAATTTTTTGTATTACATTTTAGTTCCAACATTCATTTATCTAGAAAGGTCACATGTCCTACTTTGAATCAAAATGGAAATTGGAAAATATGCCCTAAAAACAGGTAGCCTTAGCTGAATTACTCAAGCTTGCTTTTTCTTGTTTTTTAAAACTGAGTTAAATCCCAAAGGAAATTCTTGCATTAGAGAGAGCTTTAAAGAGTTTTACCCTATACTGATGATGTGTTGTTGCCATAGTGATACTGCTCATAAATACTTCCTTTCATATCAAACGTGTACCTTGTAGGACATCATGCCGAAGTCGGACATTCCCTTCTGACCGGCCTTTCCGTCGGTCTGAGACTTGGATTTATCGCTTCCAGACATTTTGACTATAAGAAAAAAATTATAAACAATTTAACAAAATAATGTGACTAAGATGTATTCATTGTGACTGAAAATGTAACTTGATATTATGTTTAAAGGTAATTCATAGGTGAATCAATATATTTAAGGCGATTGTCAGAGGATATCAACTAAAAATAGAGGAGCTGATTGAGTGGAGTTAACAAGGAAGAAGAGAAGGGGGTGCCAATAGAACCACTATACCCAGTGACTCGTCCATGCAAACAAGGAAGGAAAGGTCTAGTCTCCACCGCTGTGTGTAGCATTGACTCAAAGTAAGCTTCTCATACGCAAGTAAAGAATGATGTTACTTACAGAAAAGTATTAACAATTACCTGTGCAGTGTGTGCGTACAGAAGTGCACTCGGGCTGGGGTGAATGGAGTGAGCGCGCCCTGGGCCCCTCGTCCCCCTCTTATACTCTGGCGCCCCGGGACCAGGGATTTAACACAGACAAACAAACCCGCTGAGCTCAGAGGCCTCCACAGAAAAGAAACAGCGCCATCATCAAACACAGGGCCGGAGGGAACTGTGCTCACCGCGACAGGGCTGCATTATGGAACTATAGTGTAAATGTTTTTATTTTTACTTTTATTGATGTGTGTATACTTGGTATTTCATTGTTTTTAGTCCAATTCACTTTATTTATAGAGTGCATCGTATAAAGCAGGTTTCCATAGTGCTGCACAGAGATAAATGTAACACATCTATATATACAGGTTGGCCAGCCCCGGCTTGTATACAAAAAAAGTGTTTATTATATCCTAATATTTTAGTAATCTTACTTTTATTTTTCTACATTTACATAAATCTGGCTTGTATATTTGAATATGTTACAATTGTCTCTGCACTTTGGAAAATGTGCTATATAAAATAGAAGTAGAGGATTGGATTATAATACTGGTTTGTGTTATGCTATCTTTTAATTTTCCGTTGCTTGTTCTGTTGAATATTGTAAAAGTCAAATCTTGTGAACAAAAATAGCATAGAACAAAGTCACTATTTGACTCTTCGGGCTGAGACCTGATTGGCTGAGTGAGGATGGTTCTATCTTTATTACTTTTCTGTCTGTGACTTTGGCCAAAAACACATGTGTGTGAAAACTAGCAATAGAAACACAGTTCCATTGCTGAAATTTGAAAGTTACATACCCAAACTTTAATTTGGTCATAGTCTGATGAGGAATTGGACTGTTTCCAGATAAGACAAAAGTCCCTGTAATATTTCCTTAAACAAAAATCTGAAAAAGAAAATCCACAATTAACATTTGCGTTAATCTACTATCTTATTAGAATCAGATTCATAATTATTTTTTTTGCCATGTGAGTAACAGGAAGTCACACACGAGGAATTTTCTTTGGCTCTGGGTGCAAACAAGTCAAAAGTAGAGAATAGAATGAGGCATGATAAAAATCTACAACAAATTCTTAATGGACAAGATAAACAAACATATGTACAGGTATAATGTTTGTATGTCTGGAACAGCCTTCTACCCTCACAGAATCTGCACTGCATGGGAAGATGAATTCAATTGTCCGGTTTTATGGAAACATTTTTTCCAAAATATATACAAAACTGCCATAGATTCTTACTCTAGGGTTTTCCAAATAAAGCTATTCTATAAAATTACAGCAACAAGAAAACACCTGAATTTATGTAAGATCATTAAAAGCCCCATGTGTAGATTCTGTGAAGAGGAGGAGGAAGACCTAATGCATCTATTTTATTTTTGCCCATATGTTTCATTATTCTGGACGATGGTCCAAAGATGGTTGTGTGGATTAGGGATCGAGATTGACATCAATCCCATGAATATAATGTTGGGAATCTTGGACAGCAACTCAACGAATGTAGAGAATGTAATCATCCTGATGGGTAAAATTGTTATCTTTAAATGTAAAACCAATACAGAACTCTGTTTGAATAACTTTAAAAATAAACTGAAACAATGAGGAGCACACAACACATACAAGATAAGTGAATATTAAGAATAGCACAACTCAATATCTTTGATGGAGAAATAGTGGCGAAAATAAGAAAAAGAGTTTCTTTTTTTCTTCTAAAATCATCACAGTTAATTTTTCTATTTGTACACTTATAAAGCAACCTGAATATACATGATTTTCTATGCATCTAATGATCTTTCCATACTCGCCACATACTGTAAACACATCTGAGACAAGGCAAGGCAAGTTTATTTGTAAAATAATCACAGCACATTCAAAAGAAAGATTAAAATACAAAATCCCTCAGTTGTATGCACAGCTAAACAGAACTGCAAACTGGATTTAAATGTTGTCAGAGAAGAGGCCTGTCTCACACTTTCAGAAAGATTGTTCCATATTTTAGCAGCATGAATCTGAAATGCAGCCTCCTCATGTCCACATCTCTACATCTCCTGGTTTCTGTCCACATCAACCCCATCCTCTTCGCTCATCGTCCACTCAGCTCTTTCTCGCGGATCTGCAGCGAGTAGATCAGCGCCGAGCAGTGAAGCAATAAGTTGTTGAGCGAGGCAATAACCCGCAGTTTGTCCTGTGGGTGAAATGAACGCTCGGACAATAACATCGCTCTACATCAAGGAGGCACATATTAAATTCAGACTGTCTGAATTTTTCACGTGTGGGTGGCCCGTGATGTTATGCGCCCTGGCTGCAAGAAGCACAAACACGGTTACATGCATTGTTTTTTTTTTTTAAATCCAATGACGTCCGTGACTTTTACCGAGCCGGTGGTGTCGCCCTCCAAAAGCCACTAAAAATTCAAATTAATTAGCATTGTAATCTGAATCTTCCAGTTCTTGCGTAGAAGTGAACATCTGTGAAATGTCAATGAGGAATTTTTTTCAAGCACTCTCCTGAGAGGACTGGAGGCTGTTTTTGCTCTGACGCAGTTGGGGGCTCGAAATATATGATTAAAAAAAAAAGGTGGTTCATTTCTATGCAGAGACAACTCCCTGCTCTCTAAAGTGCGACGAGGGAGGAATGGGGGATAGAGACGGCAGCAAAACAGACAGAAAGAAAGCTACATTAAAAGTTCAGTCAGTTCAGGGCTTAAATAACCGTGCACATAATGATTAGCACAATAATCAGTGTTTAAGATATTGGAGGGTGCATAAAAGAAATATCTGGTGTCAAATGTGTTCATTGTTGCATATTTTTCTATCATAAGTCATTTATACTCAGCCACTGCGATAATGATATTGAAGCATTTGTGCATTCATGTGTGTGCATAAAGTGATGAAAACAAGTCCAAAATTGCTCAAATTGGGCAGAATGTATCTCAATTTGAGCACATTTTACCTGTCTTAAAACAAGATTTGTTTTTAAGGCAAGATACATTCTTGAAATAACACTAAATGGCTTTGTCCCATTTGCAAATCTAATTTTAAGAAAGTCAGAATGTACTCATTAAGATAAAAAACCATGCGATTCAAGCAAATTATTACCTCATGTTATCTTGTTGCTCACAGCAGCAGTAGAACGCTCCATTGATATGAATGTAATTTCAAAACGTTCTACCGGTCATTATTTTTTATAACTGACCTCTCAAAACAATAATGACCGCTGCCCATGGCAACACACTCTGGGCTTGTAATTCAGGTGTGTAGATTACTCCGCAAGTAGTCCGGCCACTTCGTCGCTACTGTCGCGATCGGAGCTAGCCACGCTCATTACACGCAAATACCAATCAATCAACACATTTAAATGTTCATCAGAGACACATTATATATATACATTCTTAATAAACATGCACAGAGGTTTTCAGAATGATCTGTTACGGTTTCATGACAAAAATACTGTTTTAATGCGAGAAAAAGCGATCGCAAAAAACCCGGAAGTGCATTCCGAGAGATTTTAGGACACAATTGCAGAGGATCAAATTATGGATTTTGTGTGTTCTGTTGGTACAAAGCCGTATAATAAGTGGGATAATGTATAGTTGGCAGGGGTCATTATCGGAAAAAATAAGCCTTCAGGGCGGAAGCAGACCCCTCCGCTGCACGTTGGGGTCCGCTTCGCCCTCCATCCATCCATTTTCTTCCCCTTATTCCATTTCTGGGTCGGGGAGGTGGCAGTCGGAGCTGCACCCAGTACACTTAGCACCAGCCTGTCACTGATCCTCCTGCAGGTGGTGAGTCCATAGGAGCCTTGATCTTTCAGCGGGGCTTCAGGCAAAGTGGGGTTAAGTGTCTTGCCCAAGGACACAACGATAGCAGACATCAGTGGGAGCCGCATCGCCCTGTCTGTACTTATTTTCCGATAATGACCTGCGTACTAAACATTATCCCTTACATAGTTGATTCTTTTTTGCGGTGCACCAACCTTTGCAGCCATTTCAATGCTTGTTTTGTGCTTGAAGCTGGATGTGTGCACAGAAAGTTTGAAGAAAGAGCCATGTCCTCGACCTTGACGTTGCTGATACCTTCTGTGGAGGATTCTTCTGTTAGAATTTGATGTTTTTCCACTTTGTCATTTCCTTTGAACCTTCGCTCACACTTGTTTTTTTATCAGACCAGCCGAAGGACAAGACTGGGAGGCTGGAGGCCATAGTATGCACCAGAAGAGTCCACTGGTCCCAAAGACTCTGAAGGGGAAAGAGACGCCGCTGCACATTCACATTGTATTCCAGTTTCCAGCTTTGGATTATGCCTCTTGTAATTAGTTCTTGGAAGAATGGGTTTTTCTTTTGGTTTTTCTTTATTCACTGTGGAATCTGACCAGCATGTGTAGACTTTGCTCGGATAAACATGAAAAATTTTCAAAGAATAATATTCAATGGATTAAAGGCCATAGAGACCTTGTTTATATTTGGATTTTCTGTACTCTGTATTAATAACTCAAGGATGGTCTGGCGTCTCTGTTCTGATATATTTCTGATGCACATTGATACACATCATATAAAAGGCTGTCCCTTCTTTTGTTCGATTTGGAAGGACTCGAGAATAAACCGGGGTACAAGTGCAACCGCTGCTGCCTCTGT